GAAAACGCAGCGTTTTGAAAACGCTCAGAAAACGAATACATCTGAAGACAGTGCTTTCCTGTCGCAGTGTGGACAGTGAAAACGGAGACTTTCTAAAACGATGACGCATGTTCGTCATGTGATGCAGTCATGTGATGCAGTCATGTGACCAATTAAACTGATAGTGGAGGGTATTACACAGCAGCTGTTTTGTTTGACAGCCGTATTAAAGATTAATATCAGTGTGTACGTGCTCCAGAGAGCTTTTCTTCAAATTATTTAATTCTCACTCGCGTTTGCAACTTTGTACTTTTGTGTTACTCGCAGCAACGACTCCACCTCATTGTTAGTCCATTTTAAAAACTCGTTGCTTTTCCTCGACATTTTGCCGGAAAGTAAATAACGCATGCGGAGGACTGGAACGTAAGCGTTTTCAGACGTTTCAATGTGTGGACGTTTCAACTCTGAAAACGACTGAAAACACTTGTGTGGACGCGGAGCGTTTTCAAATCTATCCGGTGTGGACGTAGTCTTAATATGCAGCCTGAAGGTGTGCTCAGCAGGTGTGTTAGCGAGGCACTCACAGGTGCAGCGTGCGTGTTAACGGAATGAGTCAGAACCGTGTTTGGCCCAGTCCCCGCTCTGAAGCAGGCGTGTCTGCCCTACTTTCCTCTCAAAAAGGTCATCACAACATCCCCGTCCTTTAACAAACGCTGTTGCTAGGAGCTTTTAATGAGAGCGAGGCTGAGAGGGGTTTGTTGTTGGTTTCTGTCCACCGTCACATATGGCTGCATGTTAGACGAGCTTCACATCACATCAGGCCTCACGAGGCTCCAAAGTCCAGGACAGAAGAAACCACTTTCTGATGCTGTTCATGGTGGTCAGAGAGAAACCACAACACTGACTCCCTATGGGCACCAGTTGGCAACAGTGGGGAGGAAGAACAGTCCTACTCTTTCGAGATGTCCCTACATGTGCCACGACTGTCCTCCTTTGCTCGTCTCATCTCTTTTTTCATCTCCTCTGAAGAAGAATCTGCTCTCCTCTTTTCCTTCCCTCCCTCCACTCTTCCTTTCTCACTTCCTTCCTTCGCTCCACCCACACCTAACATCCACAGACAGACATGAAGCTGCGTTAAAGCTGCGTGAATAAAGTGACAGAGGGGTGTTCAGGGTTTAGGTCTGGGCTCTGAAGCTGCAGCCTGATTGGAGCAGGGACCTGTGTGAGGTCTGAGCGGAGCAACCGTGTTCTTCAAACCTGAACCAATCAGTGCGGAGCCCTGAGCGACCCTGCTTCACCTCACCATCACATATATCACTGGAGCTCATTACGTGTTTGCAGTCCGGAGACGTTTCCCTCACTGAAACGTTTCATCTGACATTTTTAATGTCTTAAACTCTCTCTGCTTCCTCATTTCCTTCCTTCCTCCCTCATCTTGTCTCCTCCTTGGGCTGCGTTTGTTTTTCTCTGTCTGAAGCACGCCAGGTTCCACGTGACTGAGCCACAGAGGGGCGGGGAGGAGGGGGAGAAGAGCGGGGCACGGCGGGCTCTCATTGGATGAAAGTAGGTCAAGCCGGCCCACTCATGTGACCCAGCTACCTCTGCAGGCTGTGTGTGTGAAATTTAAAGGAAGCAGATGTCACAAGAATAAAAAAGGCCTGAATGAAGGTTTCAGAGATGAAATGTCAGCACGTCTGCTGAGAGCAGAGAGAAGTTTAAACTCCACGAGAGACAAAAACACTTTCAGGGTTTGGTTGTTCCTGGAAGTTTCTGGATGTTCAGTCTGCAGATCAGAAACATTAAGAGATCAACCAAACGCAGCTCAGAATGAGCGTTAATGGAAGGAAACAGAAGTGCTGCCCACATGAGCGCGACTCAGGGATGACACGGAACAGGAAGTAAAGTGAAGCAGGAAACACTGAACAAAACAAGAACTGAACCAATAAACATCCAAGAATCAACACTGATCGCACAGAGCCGCCCGTCTCCACCTGTAACAGAGGCGGGGTCAGTAAGCCGCGCCCAGCACTGACCTGCAGGCGCTGTGTGGGTGGTGCTCACTCCTCTGCAGGAAACGTGTGTTTGCCCAATTTATACCGTAGCGGGAAATCTACGTTTAAGCTTACGACACAAACGGCTCCTAACGCTTCCTCGCCATTCCTCTTTGGCTCTCGGGGAGGCGGACGCATCTTTCACCCTCTCCCTCCCTTATCTTCCCCGCTGCTGCTTCTATGTCTTTGTCTAGTCTCGTCTAACCCTCAGAGAGTTTCTCAGTCTTGTTCTCTAAAACCTAAAGAAATAAGGAATTGACGCCCTGCTGGGCTGCGTCCACCTGACCCGTAGTTACGATGTGAATTTCATGTGACGTGGAGCGTTAGGAGCGGTTTGTGGTTAGGTCAGAAGTAGATTTCCCGCTGAGGCATAACTCACGCGGTCGGCTGGATGTCGCCGTGCTGTCGGCGACCGCAAAATAAGAGGAAAACTATTACATCAGCAACACTGCAGGTTCCACCTCTCTTAAACCTACAGGGCGCCTTGTAGTTCCTGACAGATCGGACAGCGAGCTGCTTTCAGCCCAAGTCCTCAGGTGAACCTCAGCTCTGACCACGCCCTCTTTTTTCACCTTCAGAGCAAAAACTTTCCACAGGTTTCAGAAAATCACAGATGTTTCACTTCACTTCCAACAGGGAAAACATTCTCAACATGAAGCTGTCGCTGCGCAGGAAGCATGCGCAGTACGCTCAGCAAAGGTGTGTGAGGGAGAGAGAGAGCGGGGCGGGGTTATGGCTCCTTTGACGTCAGCAGTCCTCCGTTCTCACACATGGACTCGGTGCTCGGTCCGCAGCCCGGTCAGGCACCGCCGCACGCGCACGCAGCAGGTAGTGTGTGCTGAGAGCAGCAGCTTTTATTCTGAAAGGATTCCTTTCCGCGTGGATGTGAGGCCACAACGCGAGGACAGCGCTCACCTTACCGTGTCACACCTGCGGCTCTGCTCGGCTCGGCTCGTTTCCCCAGACTGAAGTCCCGATGCAAGGAGGCGTGATGGAGAAGATTTCCCGACACCCCGGCCCGCTCGGCCCGCTCAGCCCGCTCAGCCCGGGCTTCCTGCCCACGGCCACGCACGGAGTGCTCAAGTCGCTGCTGGAGAACCCAGTGAAGCTGCCGCTGCAGCACGAAGGTGAAGTGTGTGTGTTTGTGTGTGTGTGTCACATTTAAACTGTGCGTCAGCAGCAAAGTTTCCACAGCAGGAGAAGAGTCCGTGTCTGCCGAGGTCACACGCGCACCGTGAGAAACACACCTGTGTGTGTGTGTGTGTGTGTGTGTGTGTGTGTGTGTGTGGCAATAATTAAATTTGAGGTGTGTGTCAGACTCGCTTCTCACGCAGAGCAGTTCGCAAACACGGAGGTCACAAGTGCAAAAACTTCTGTTTTTCATGTTGCGTAACAAGCGTCTGAACGTTACCCGGCTCGGGCTGATCGTTCATAATTCAAAGAGTGATCGGAAATTATCGATATTCTCCTTCAGATGCTTCTTTTCTGCAGCCAGCTGCCCGGAAGTCAAATATGTGAACGCGCCGTGAGACACGTGAAGGTCTCCTGTTACCGCACACAGGTCCTGTTCCTCTGGCCTGTACGTGATGATTATAACATGTTTATGAGTTTGTGTCGTCAGGTGTAGACGTGAGCTCCGATCACTGAGCCCGTGGCGGCTTCGTTGTCCTTTACTCGACGTCATGACCTCCAGGTTTACCTGACACTTATAAGTCCGATTAGAATCCACGTTGGAAGCGTCCTTTAATATAAAGACACAGATGAAAATATTCCAGAGCTCAGTTTTCTTGTTTCTTCACATTCAGATGTTTTAGTAAGTTATTACTGAAGGTAATGAGTCACCTGTTTGTGCTCTTCCTGATGGACTCTGTGTGAGTCGGTGTCCGTGATTGGACTTTCCACCCTCTCGGTTAATAACAAGGACTTTATTGAGAGCGTCGTGCAGCTGCCGGTTCAGGTTTGAGGCTGTCGTCTCGCCCGTGTTTGGTTTCTTGTGGTCACGCTGAACCATCCTGACCTCGGCGGTCTGAGGCTGCTAAACAAGTTTTTGCTCTGGAGACGTGTCAGGCTGCGAGGGCGATGAAGTAAGTACAGCTTCCCCGTCATTATATCTGCATCACCTTTTCCTGTTTGGAGGTTTTTTCAATGATGTCAAAGACCTGAAACACCATGAACGATGACTCAGATTTCTACTTTTTGTTGAAGTTCACATGAAACAAGTTTAACTTTAGTTTTTCAAGCTCTCAGAGGTCTTTGTTTGTGTTTGGGTAAATCTCAGGTGTTCATGCCAGAGCTGTGCAGTCATTTTACTTCAGTTTATCCCCTCGAAACACTTTGTTCAGATGCCTAAAAGCACGTAATCGTTTTTCCATGTTGTATTATGCTGAGTTAACCTGATGCACAGTTAGCGGTAACGCTCACTTGTGACTTCAGTGAGTGCAACTTTAGTAAAATTGGTTCCACACCAGCCTCTGAAGAGCAGGGTGCTGATGCCAGTGGACGGGTCAACAAAGCTCTGTGATATTTGATAACGACTTCCTTGTGATCAGACAAACCTTATGTTCAAACCTGACCAAACCTTCACCATCGTTTGTGGTAAATAAGACGAGAGTCATGTGAGCAGCAGGAAAACATCCTGAAACGGGAGATTAGAAAACGTTCGGGTACAATCTGCTGCGGTCGAGCTGAAAGGAGAGTCAGAGTTCAGCTTCCTGTCAGAGCAAACATCCTAAAATGAATTCAGATGTGTTTGTTCTCAGTCATTTCATAAATACCTGAAAGCTTTAAAGGTGGAACACCAAGCAGCAGAGATCACAGAGAATAACCCGAAATATCTTTTTATAGACCCAGAGACCACCTTCACAGAGTGACTAATGCTGAGCAGTTGCTCCTCGTTTCTTTGTATTTCACAGAATATGAGGAGCAGGTTTACTGAAACGTGCAAACACACACTGAAATACAGCACTGAAGCACAGTTGAACATTAGAAAGCTTGAGCACATTGATCGGTCTCTGAGCAGCTCTCTGTTATCTCTGTGGTCTCCAGGTTCTCCTTTGGATCTTCTGAGCAGGCTTCTGTGGGATGATCCCACAGTTCTCTCCTGGTGCTTTTTTTAGTGCAGACCTTTGCTCTGCACCGTAAACCTCTAAAAGTTGGTTTGTGCACACTGTCACTGATCCACTCTCTCCATGTTCTTGTGCAGCTTTCAGCAAAGAGCACGAGAAGGAGAAAAACCTAGAAGAAGAGCGCAGCGCCCCCCAGTCGGCCTTCCTGGGCCCCACGCTGTGGGACAAAACCCTCCCCTACGATGGAGACACCTTTCAGCTGGAGTACATGGACCTGGAGGAGTTTCTGTCTGAGAACGGGATCCCCTCCAGCCCCTCCCACCACGACCACCACCCACCACACGCTCCACCACGCCAGCCGCCAATCATGACACCAGCCCCTCCCACGCCAGCACCCTCAGTGATTGACCTTAGCAACCACGCCTCCGCCTCTGTGCACACGACCGTCGTCTCCCCGAACTGCCTGCACGGCAGCCCGGCAGCAGCAGGTAACACCAGCACACCTGGTTTCATTATGACTTCGTATGTTTTTAATACTCGCAGCTGTTCAAATGCATCACTGTTATTACCAGAGTGTTACCTGGTGCAGGTAAAGCACCGTGTCATCAGCATAGCAGTTAATTATGGGAATTTAAACAGGGATCCTTGAAGGACTCTAAAAAAGATATATTTATGTATATATTGTGGATTTCCAGCCGGGGATGAATAAAGTATGTGTCTGGAGGATAATAAATGTTTACAAAGACTGAAGAACCATCAGGAGGTAAGAAGCAGGCCAGACGAATCACAGCAGCGCACTCTTCAGATGATCCTGAACTGTTTTTGTCCTCATCATTAAAGTGCAGTTTCTTTTTAGAAGTTTGACCAAGATATGAGATAAGAGATAGTTATCAATCCTGCGACGCCTCTTTGAAGAAGGTCACTAGAAATATCACACAGAGGAGGAACACGCAGAGGTGACCACATGATCCCGAACAGGCTGAGATGGTGAAAACAGTCAAACTCAGAGGTGCTTCCTCCCTCAGCTGCAGAACAAAGACCCACCGTCACCGAGCCGCTCCGTCTCCGTCTCGCACTGAAAACAAATGAGAGGCGTTTGTCCCTTTGAGACGGCAGGCGTCCTCGACCATGGGGCGGGGCCGCTGTTTGTTGAGGAAATGAAATGAATGAGCTTAAAGTAGACCAGCTCGTGCTGGTGATGCTCTCTTCTTCTTCTTTGATTTTGGAACTAAAACATCTTACAACACTTTGTCTTTTAAAGTCATTTAAAATGATTAAAAATCCTCCATTGGATGTTTTGTTCCGCTCGGGCCAGAGAGCGTCACGTGACGCTGAGCGTAACGGTTTGATTACAATCTGAAGCTCGTGGAGGAGAAACATCTCTGACCTTTAGGCTGAACTGAGATTTGCATGAAAAAAACTTTGTAAGAATAAAGTTCCCAGATTCAAAACATAAATGTTGTTTGTTTGAGGTTTTAATCAAAGAACCGATCAGCGTTGAGCGTTTGATGCTTTGAAATCACAAAAACTCTCCAGCAGCATCAACATTACTGAGTTTTATTAAAACTGCAGCTCAATGAAAACAAGTGTGTGTGTGTGTGTGTGTGTGTGTGTGT